AAAAGTGAGTTTAAGAATTAGACAAAACTACTATGAATAAACAATTTATTCCTGATTAAAAACAATATCAAATATCAAATTAAGAAAAAAAATCACAATCAATATTAATCTTGAAATCATGATATGGAAAAGACAAATATTCCATGAACATAAAATAATGAATCATTCTCAAAATAAAAGACCCTGGGGTGAAAGAGTGGAAGCAGGAAGTTGTTATGGAAGTGCAGGCAAGAGATCACTGGCCCTTGGACTGACATGGTTGTGGTGTACATGGTGAGAATTGTTGAGAATGAATTCTATTTGTAAATTGATTCTCTTGTCTGGACTGGACATATGAGGCAAAAAAACTCACTTTTTGAACAAGAGGGTGAATTATGATCATTTCTTAAAATAAGGTAGATTTGAGGTAAAGCAGGTTTGGAGAAAAAAATCGAGTTCGGCTTTGGCTTTATTAAAATGGAATTGCCGGAGACATTCAGCTGGGCATGCCAAGTAGAAGACCTAAATGTGGATACCACAAGTATTAAGTTTGACATTTAACTACGAGAATGAATGTGATCCTCTAAGAGGGAGTATTGCTAGGAAGAGAGAATCTATACTGCACCCCCAAGAAATTCCAACTTACAGGGATTGGAAAGAGAAGAGACCAGCAAAATAGAAGGAAACCAAATGAAGAAAGTGTCAAAAGCTGCTGAGCAAGGTAAAGTCTAAAAAACACCTACAAGATTTAGAAATGTGGAGTCAGCCTTTTTGAGAGCATTTCAGTGGAATGCTTAGGACAAAGTCTGAGGTGATACAATACCAGGCAACAAGATCTAAAACAAGCATTGTGTGTCTTTTTTTTTTTTTTTTTTAATAAAAAGGCCACACAGCCAGACTACAACATGTCCCAGCTCAAAACCTTCCCATGGATTTGTCACCCTCAGAAAAAAATCTGGACTCCTTACTACGACCTCCAAAGTTTCCACAAGATCTGGCACCTGCTGTCTCACCTCCTTCATGAGTGACCTTACCAACCACTCCAGCCATACTAGTATTATGCTCTTCCTTCAAAAGGTCAAGCTCCATTCTATTCAGTATTTGCATTTGCTCTTCTTTAACCTGCATGGTTCTTCCAGTTATGTACATGCCTTTCTTGGACTACTGTATATAAAACTGTCTCTCTCCAACATTCTTTAAGTATAGCCAGTCTTGCCTGGAGATGTGATTTATGAAAGGGGAAGAAATACGTAGGCTATTTTTGATCTTGCTTTAGCAAAAAGTGAATTGGAAAAAGCAAAGAAAATCTTTTGAATGTAGGCTCACCTGATGATTAAAGTATTGATTTACTTATAATGTTATCAGTAATGATTCCAAAGGTTTCCAGTAATGGACTCTTTTCTTTCACCTAAGATCTCAGAAGACAACCACCGCAACAAACAATAATAAGCTTAGTTAGAAAACATAATGGGTTTGAGGAAAGATAAACAGTCCAATCATTTCTGTAAGTTTGTATGCTATGGTTCAACTTTGTTTTAATTTCCTAGTTGGTTCTAGGTGCTGAACCATTCTGAAACTGTTCCCATTATTTGATTCCACAATCCACTGTAAGACATTTTAAAATTTTGTCTAAATCTGGGGATACCTCAAGCTGAAGATCATAACTTTTTATCCCAAATCCTAACCCTAACCCTAGTAGATGAAGTGTGCCCCACCCCCAGCAGATTCCCACTACTGCCAATCCCACCTTCCCCCCTCCCCCCCACCCCCAGCAGTTTCCCACTACTACCAATCCTGTCCCCCCACCCTGGCAGTTTTTTACTACTGCCAATTCTTTTCTTAAAGTATTATGATAATTGTTCAAAGTCCGCTTATGAGTGAGAATATGTGATACTCAGTTGTTTCTGTGATACATCACTCAGTATTATAGACTCTAAATCCATCCAGGTTGCTGTGAAGTTCATGATTTTGTCCTTTTTTGTGGCTGCATAATAAATATTCCATCATGTATATGTACCACAATTTTTAAAAAAAATCTAGTTCTCTTTTGATGGGCAGCACGGTTGGTTCCATTGAACAAACATTTCTGACCAGCACCTTGAGAACTCACTAAGACTTGTGACTGCTTCTATCAAATCAGACATTGATAGCTTTATAAAAACAAGGTCAAATTTCTCACTGGTGTTTTTTTGAGTTGGAGTCTCACTCCATCGCTGCCCAGGCTGGAGTGCAGTAGTACACCCACTGCCACACCCCAGCATCGATCTGCTGGGTTCGGGTGATTCTTCTGCCTCAGCCTTCCAACTAGCTGGGTCTACAGGCACGTACTACCACGCCCAGCTAATTTTGTTTGATTATTGTAGAGATGAGGGCTCGCTAAGTTGCCCAGGCTAGTCTTGAGCCCCCGGACTCGGGCAATCCTCTCGCCTTGGCCTCCCAAAGTGCTGGGATTACAGGCTGTCACCAAACCCGGCCCTCATTTACCACATTTTAAAAATGAGGGTGCTGTTCTAGATATCTCTAAGATACCTCCCAGCTTTAAAACCTGAGTAAATTCAACTGTATCATTTTATTAAAGTAATCTGGCTTGGATTCTTATTGTCTTTTTAGAACTCTGGAGTATCATGCTATCTGTGTGCACTTTAGTGTATACTTCAACAAAATCTATTAACTAGTCGGGAGCTCATGAATTCATACTATTTTTTTCTTTTAAATACTAAGAGATAGTGAAACACTGGTTTCCTCTAAAAATGAAAGACATAAATTTAAACTTGCTGCACTTGCTCATGCCTGTAATCCCAGCATTTCTGGAGGCAGAGGTGAGAGGATTTTGCCTGAGTCCAGGGGTTTGAGACCAGCCTGGGCTCGGTTATCCTTCCTGTTGGACTCATTTCTACAGTAAATCAAAATATTAGCTGGGTGTGGTGGCACATGATTGTGGTTCCAGTCACTTGGAAGGCTGGGGTGGAAGGATAATCCGAGTCCAGCAGGTCGAGGCTGCGGTGGCCATGAGCATCCCACTGTACTCCAGTCTGGGTGACAGAGTGAGACTTTGACTCAAAAAAAAAAAAAAAAAAAATTGTTTTCCATGAATTCCTCTCATAAATTTAGAGACGTTGGAGAAACATTACTCCTATAACAGAAAAAAGGAGGGAAGAACATATAGAGGGCACAAAAAATAGAATTCATATTTGACAAGTAAAATCTGTTAAAAATCATCTGTATCACGAAGCATTTAAAAAAACCCCACATTTAAATTGGTGCCTTGCAACTTGGGAATACAAAATTTAGTAATGGAAATGAAAGTTAAACACTTCTCCTTAAACTTTATTGTCCGCAATTTTCTTGATCATTTCAATATTGAATATTCTAAAATCCATCATTTCCTCCTGTCTAATTGCACTTGACCTCTTAGTTATTATAAATTATTTCCAGGTTAGCAGAATCAATACTTTTAAGTTTCAAGGAAGAGGGAACAGTAATTTCATCATTCTGACCCATTTAAAAAATAGCCCTAACAAATTCAACTCTGGTTCTAAAACAGGCTTTGTAGAATAACTGACATATGAATGGCTCACCATTTGCAGGGATAGAGTATGGCATACAAAAGACTTATTTCATAGTATTGTTTTCTACTGCCTAAAGGGGAAATATTGTTGCTTTGGTGAAGAAGAATCTCTCCAAGGAAACACCACCAACTGAGCAAAATGAACAATATCACTGAGCTCTGTTTTTTTAGTGATTCCCACTGCCTCAGCTCACAACTGACACATCTTGAAGCATTATCACAATTTTATTCTCCCAATTTTAAAAGTTTCTCATGTTGTACTGTAGGTAGCACACTACTTTAGTGAGATAAACAAATAGGGGGCCCAAAAATCAAACAAAAGGGAGTGGGAATTAAGAAATTATTCCTTTATAAAATTACTCCATCTTATATAAATAGAATTTCACTTTAACAGAACAAGTATATCAGTATCGTCTGTTAACAAAAAGGCAAAACTACACTGGCAACAAAAGCCCATGCTTTGGAATCAGACAGAATTTGTTTCAGGTCCTGATGCCTTTTATGTGATCATGGGAATAGTTTTTAGCCTCTTGAAGCCTAAATCTCTTCCTTCGTAAAATGAGGAAGAATAAGCTTTACAGAGTTACTTGAGGATTAAAAATCATTATGTATAAAATGCATTACATAATAAAAATAAAGGCAAAAGAAAACACCATTTCCACCATGATTTTGTTAGGCTTTTATTATGAATGTATTTTTTTGAACCATTATTTCAGATCTCACTAAAACTGCAAATCTTGGAGCAGTTACTTTTAAAGGAATTGACTATTTTCATAGTATTAGTATAGATGTTTTCTTCTTTAAGGAGCACTATGTGCATGACACTATATTGACAGCCAAGTTGGAACCCTAGTTCCACTTTCTCTGATGTAAAAACTATTCTATTTACTTGTAGGTATGGATGTGAAGAATATAAGGCAAATTTCAGAAAAATCTGTAAATAAGCACAAGACAATTCATAACTCACGTGGTATAGTTACCTCTTGATTTCTCAAATAAACACAACTCTAATATAGTGATCCAAGTTATTCTGGTGTTGAAATACACTGATTTTTTTGGTAATAATTTTTCATTTAGATTATTCGTTATTTTTGTTTATACTGCAAGTTAAGTGAAACTGTGAAACTGACTAGAATACAAAAAAATCAGTAGTAGCCTTGGGTTAACATCTGCCACATATCAATTTAAGAGGATTAATCCAAACTTAGCTGCAACATGCTACCAAAACAATAAACATACAAACTAGGTAACAGACTAAAAAACCAAAATCTGAATATAATCGAAGATGAATAAATAAGTCATTAAGATAAACCATACATGAACTTTCAGTTAAAAATAAACTTTTAAAGGATGGAACAAAAGAAATTATGATCTAAAGCTTCTATTTTTACCTCTACTTTCTCCTCCTCTTATGTGGTAATTTGAGATGCTTTAGAAGGGTAAGAAAAAGTCCTTTTATATTTTGTGAAGGTTTAATCAGATAATTCAGGGGAGGGGACCATTAAAACAAATTCTGCTATCATCTGATATGTCCAATTACATGAATATGATGTAACAAAAATGGTTACAAACTTATATTTGCATATTTACATTATGTACTCAAACTATCAAGCTAATTAACTATAGCTGAGGAGATACATTATGACATGAGTTAAACAATTTTTCATTGCTCATCAGAAAGAATGCAGTCAAGCTTTTCATGGAAATAATATACAAGCGAGGCACTTTTGAGGTCAGGAAAAGAAAGCAAATGACACTACACACTGGAAACGTTCACAAAATTCTAAGTGTATTTTTAATACAAAGGCTTTTCAACTAGATTATTCTTGAAAAATTTCAAAACTAACAACTTATGCAATTTAAGAGGCTTTCAGGAACAAAGGCTAACATTTATCAGTGTACCAAAGCATATGAAAATTTTATAACCACCTGGCTGCTAGGCAAACAGTATCTTAATACTATAAAGCCCTTTTTTTTCCTAGTTTATATAAATCACCTCAGGTTGTTGTTTTCCTTTTTTAAAAAAATGTTTGTCTCGCCGCAAAACACCTTATGATGCTATTATCATCACGATTATATTACAAATTCTTTTTTAGTGCAATAATAATGCAAGTTTCTAGTGCTTTCTCTTGTACTTAGAAATGTGATCACAGAGGTCAAATCGAGAATGAGAATAATATTTGGTAGAGAATCTGTGTCTTGCATCTAAGTAAAGTTTTCTAAGTTTTACGCAGAAAAATGTTATACTTGCTAATGCACCTTTGGGCTTCAGTTAAAAACCCAATCTTAACACGTATTTCCAAGTGTAATCACAAAACCTAAAGTTTAAAGTTTCAACAAAAGAAGTAGCCTTACAATTCTTTCTTTACATTGCCCGTCTAGAGGAAAGTACGTTTCCTGTACTCTGGAGACTTAATGGATAATAAGAAACATCTCTGAGCCATTCAATTGGGGGGAAGGGAGAGGAGAAAGAAAAGAAAAGGCAAGACTTACCCAAGATATCAGATGGCACTATTCACATGAATTAAAAGTGCATTTGTACTACTTCAAAAGCTTATTTTAGGCACTGCTGAATAACCAATAAAAATAGGTAGCTTCAAGTTTTTCCCTTAAATTTGAACCTCCTCTGTTCATAATCATCTCAGAAACATACACACACTCTCTCTGAAGTTGTCATGATGAAATTCAGGTAATTATGTTTTGTTTCATTTTTAAAAAATTCTACCTGACCGGCAATGGAAGGGAAAAAAATAAGAACACTACTTTGGGAATGGCTCTGAGGTTAAAGAAACTTGTTCTATAAATGTCTCAGCACATCCATTAAGCTTGAGTGCCAGTCCCAAATATCAATAAACATTTGAAAACAGGATATGTAAGAAAAGAGTGTTTAAATTTTTTCAGCGAGCCAAGAAGACACATTAGGGAAAAGAATCATTTTTTCAGTTCCTTTGAGAAGTTTCTTACTCCTGGGTTTCCCTGGTAGGAGGTGGCTACCACACAAACAGCCCTTTAGTGGTACCAGTGATGAACCCTGTCACATTCCTACTGCCATCGCATGTCTCTGATCTAGAAATCACCCAGTAGGTGGTGCTGAAGTTCCATACCATATATAACTTCAGAAATCAAATGGTTCCTCTTTCAAGTCAGGTGAACTACCATGTAAGAATTATCAATTTTCGACAAAACAAACCCATAAGACCAAAGTCAAGAATTATCAATTTTCAAAAAAACCAGCCCATAAGACCAGTCTTTCTTGTCATGCCATCTAGATGATTTCATTCTCAATATTTACCATTACTTAAGCAGTTCTGTTGAGCCATAATGCTTATAATATCAGATTAAAAATAAAGTTTCAGAGGAAAAGCCAACTGGCAGTGCCAAATCTGTACAATGAGAAATGCTCCTGAATGTATCTATACACGTTTCAGAACCAGAGATTTAAACTATCCATCTATTTCCACATAGGAATTCTCATTTACTCAAGGGGAAATTTCTACACAGGGATTCAGATAACATTATCAGTTAGTCTTCTAGACTGATTTGGAAACTGAGTGTGTTAACTATAAAGATCCAAGGTGAAATAAAAACCATTTAATCACCATAGTTTTTAATGAAGAAACTTGTTTAAAATTGTAAAGGAAAAAATGGGAATGGGACGGCAAAATCTTAGCAGCAAAGTGGTTAAACAAATTGAAAATATTAATGCACAAACATTAAAATATTAAAGCATATATGTTGCATATAAAATACAGTACAGAACCAGGAGTTGCACTATACTGAATTAGTGCTTAACAAAAGAAATGATTAAATTTGTTCTTCCCAGAAGTATGTACACAGTTCATTTCCACAGCATTTTCCTATAGAGCCAGCAAGTTATTTTCTTCAGTTATTCACACCTTGCTCAAACCTGAATTATAAACTCAGCACTTACAAATATGAAAACTCATTCACAAGGAAAACAAGGAAAACCAGTATTTCCATTTCACCAATAAAAAGTAAATTTGAAAGTTAACAGTCTATTCTAGGAAACCAAGTTTAGCTGAAAACTTCAGGGATGAAGATCATCTGGTGTAGCAGCATTCAAACATATAAACAGTAAAAATAAGACTTAAAATCGCTGCTACGGTGTCACGTTTTGGATTTAGTACATCCAATTGATTTTTAGTACAAAACTAGAAATACCTTCTTCTTCATAACATCTATAGTTATCAATATATTTTTTCTTCTTTTCAATGTGAAATAATACTTCAAGATGATCTATATACACAATGTTGTCAGTTCAAGCTGTCATATAAATATAAATGCTTTCTTAAAAAAAGTATTTTACAGACAGATAGTGTTATATACATTGTTCAGTTTGATCTGGGGCAAAAGAAGAAAGCCAACACAAGCTTAAGTAAGTGTGATATATAAAAAGAATGATACACAAATGACATTAAAAACCTGCATAGAAAATGAGCTTCAAATGGTAGTGTGATTTTAATTTTTATAACCTCTGAAACTTCAAGCCATTAAAAAAAGGCACACTTCTTAACTTTATCCCTCTAAGGGAATGTTCTTAAAGAACCCTTTCCTTGGTTAGAGTTTTAATGTAACACACACACACACACACACACACACACACACACACAGATAATTTGACCTCAACGTACTTTAAACAGTTTGTTGGAACATTTATCCAACTACATTGTAAATTAAACATCCAGTAATATAATGCTTTGCAAAAGAAATAAATTTATATGTACAAATTATTTCATTCAATGCTGGATTAAATACTTTCCCGGGATAGTTTAGCACACACTTTAACGTAAGATAATTTTGCTTTTGGCTAGTTTAAATAAAATAAAATGCAACTGAGAAAGGTTATCATTGTTATGTAAATAATAAGCACTGAGGATTAAGCTAGAAAATTAGTAACACAGCTGAACATATTCTGGTTTAGCAGAATGATAAATGGAGATCTCAAAAGGAAAGTGACACTTAACTATCCAGTTAAACTTTTTGCCTTGTAAAACATTTGTAAATGCAATATAATTTTTTGAAGGAGGAAACTCTGAGAGAAAACAACTTGCTGGTTGAATACCACAAAAAAAACCCCCTAAAAACCTCACTTTTTTTCTATGTTTACTCAGTCTCTTTTTATATAAAAATAAGTGTTACGTTCCCATCAGAACATTAGACAATTACACCTGTGCTTTAAAAAAAAGTTGGTCACTCAAGGCTATTAGAATATTTTTAAGGATTTTAGATTACCAGAATGTACAGATATAACTCAATATAAATTGTAGCCAAAGAGAAATAAGGATGAAAATATCAAATCATTCACATGGAATAAAAACATTAACTAGACAAGTTAAATATGCAAAATATATGGAATGTGACAGCAGATATATGCATATCTACTTTAGAACTAGGAAGGGGAAGAAAAATTTAATATGTAATAATTCGTACCTTACATTTAGTTAAATATAAACATTTGTTATTTATACATAAAACTGCTTTCAAAAAACAACTAATAAGTGATTTAGTTGCACTTGTTTTACTTCTTACAGTTCCCAAGTGTTAACTTTTCTTAGACTGAAATCAACTGCCCCTAATGCACTTTTATTTTTAGTTCATGTCCTAATAAATTCAACTTTTAAAAGTCCCATCACCTAATGCATAAATATACAAAAATGCCAAAAATTAATCCCTTTTAGTTGGATCATATTTTATGCTGACTTTTATAGCCAATAACCAGAAATGGTTTCCTTCTGCAAATACTCTACAACCTGTAACAAAACATGCCATGCACTCAAGGGAAAAAGTTAGGCATGGCTAGCATTTGTGAAATGCCAAGATCTGACGAGTTCTGCTTCCTCCACGTGTGGCCCCAATGATACCAGGCAAGATTCCATATTGCTTGCCAAAAGCTTCCACAAATCCAAGTTAGCTAATTCCTGGAAAAGAAGATTTTAAACTCATTTTGGCACTGCATCATTTCATCCAGCAGCTTTATGTTTCCCACCACAGCAACCACATGCCTCACCACAGCGATGGCACATTCTCAAAGGGACGTAGCAGCACATACATGGTACAATGAAAGACAGAGCTACCAGGGCTAACCATCGTAAGCAGAACTTGTCATCACTAGTGTCACATGAACAGGGATCAGAAAAATCTCCCTCTGAGTCTGACATACAATGATACAACATGCTCTCTGCACAGAGCATGCAACTAACTTGATATATGCATCTTTTAATAGGGTCTGGAGCATCCTGACATTTTCCCCTGCCATTTTCTTCATGATTAAACCTTTCCTGGCAGTATACGCAGCGAGAACGTTCACCATCCTCTTTTCTTCGTTTTGACTTCTTAAATTTTAATGAAGGCTGTGTCTTAAATACCACAGAGTTTTTGGGTGAACTTAACTTAGTTTCATCCCCACAAGAGTACAGATAGTCTGATTTTTTACTGTCTGGTTTAGAAAAGTGAATATTGGAGTCAGTATCCTCTCTTTCCAAGTCATTTTTCCACATGTCAGGATGTCTGTAGTCTGCATAGCGACGTATTAAGATATCTCGAGGGTTTATTCTGACAATCTCATCCTCATCTTGAAAGCTGACATGTCTGATTGATTTCAAAGGGACCTAAAAAGAAAAGAGATGAAAATTGCAATAAGGACTATGATGGTAATTTTTGTGTTTTTTTGAGTCGGTCTCTCATTCTATCACCCAGGCTGGAGTGCAGTGGAATGATTATGGCTCACCACAGCCTCAACATTCAAGGCACAGGCAATCCTTTCGCCTCGGCCTCCCAAGTAGCTGGGACCACAGGCATGCACCATCACCCTCCGCTAATTTTTTTGTAAAATTTATGTTGCCCAGGCTGGTCTCGAAATCCTAAGGCTCAAGTGATTCTCCTACCTCAGGTTCCCAAAGTGCTAGGATTACAGGTACGAATCACCATGTCCTATGATGGTTAATTTTTTTATGTGTCACTTTGGTGGGGCCACAGTGCTCAGATATTTGTTCAATTATTATTCTGCATATTTCTGTGACATGTTTTTTGGATGAGATCAACATTTCAATCATGGACTATGAACAAAGTATTGTACCTTCAGTGATATGGATGGATCTCATCCAATCAGCTGAAGGTCTTAAGAGAACTAAGACTAATCTACCCCTGAGAAGAAAAAATTCTGACAGCAGATTGTTTGAACTTGGACTGCACTGTTCCCTGGTTCCAAGAATCATGTTGTTGATACAGTGGATCTAAAGAAGGAAGACAACAGTAGTCCATGACCTTGAATGAATGAATAAATTAGCCTGAATTTGTTGATTATTCAGAAGGATTTAAACCATGCATAAAAGCCATAGGCAGGGGAGTATGCTCAGTCAATGACAGCTACTAAAGACAAGCTTGTAGATTTTAGATTTGTACTGCTACTATCTCATGAGTTAAATCCTTAAAATAAAACTCTATCTAATCGATGTTATCTATCCTATTTGCCTATCTTACACACGTTGTTGGTTCTGTATCTCTGGAGAATCCCTGACTGATAAAGATTTTGGTGCAAATAAGTAGGTGCTACTATAACAAGTATCTAAAAATGTGAAAGTGGCTTAGGAACTCGGTAATGGGTAGAGGCTAAAAGTGTTTTGAGATCCGTGTTAGAAAGAGCCTTGAGAAGGCTGTTGGCAGCAATAAGAACTTTAAAGGTGCTTCTGGTAAGATTTCAGATGGAAATGAGGGACATATATTGGACATTAGAAGGAAGACAATCTGAGAGAGAGCCTTGAGAAGACTGTTGGTAGAATAGGAACTTTAAAGGTGCTTCTGGTAAGGTCTCATAGAAATGAGGAACATGTATTGGACATCAGAAGAAAAACAATCTTTGTTATTAAGTGGCAAAGAACTTAACTGAATTGTGTTCTAGTGTTTTTTGGAAGGTAGAATTTGTGATGAACTTGGATGTTTAACAGAGATTTCAAAGCAGTGTTTGATGATGTAGCCTAGTTTCTTGCTGCTTATAGTAAGATACAGGAGAAAAGGGGTAGATTGAAGAAGGAATCGTCAAGTAAACAGGTGACTCAAAAATTTGAAAAATTCTCCATTCATCCATACTGCAAAATATGAGAAAGTATGTTCTGGAGAGAACAACCTAGGGTGTGGTTGGACAATCATCTAAAATGCTGCCGACTTGGACTGAAGGGGACAGAGGCAGAACAAAATGAAGGACAGGTGTTGGACTTTTGGAATTCTACAGGATGGGCCAAGAGAAGAATGACCCTGAAGGCAGGCTGTCTCTTTCTCAGCTCCAGAGGGAAGGGTCATCTCCTCAGTTTCGGTAGGCCATGCTATAGCAGCCCAGAGCCTAGGGGGTGATGTTGATACCTAGGGTGGATGTAGTGGGAGCAGAGGGCAAAGTATTAAGACAAAGAGGATTATTCTTAATCCTAAAACCTTTTTAAAAAACAAATCTTACAATCTTTCTAAAAGTTTTAAAACCTAGTCGAATTTTTCTTAGGTTTTGGAATTGGCCTGGGACCCTTTCTTCATCTTCATTTCATTTTTTCACTTTTGGAATGGGAATGTCTATTCCTATGCCTTTCCTATCATTGTATTTTGTAACCAGCAATTTGTCTGGGTTCACAGGTTCATAGCTGGAATAGAATTTTGCTTTAAGATGAATCATTCCTCAAGTATTACCCACACTTGATTGAGAGATATTTAGATGAGATTTGGGACCTAGAGCTGATGTTGGAATGGGTTAAGACTTTGGGTTGCTGGGATGAGGGTGAACGTGTTTTGCATGTAAGGAGGGCATGAATTTTGGGGTCAGAGGGCAGAATGCTATGGGCTGAATTGTGTCCTCTTCAAATTCATATGTTAAGGAATTAATCCCTAGTAACTCAAACTGTAAATGTATTTGAAGATAAGGCCTTTAAAAAGGCGACCAAGTAAAAATGTGGCCCTTAGGGTAAACCTTACTCCAATCTGACTGGTGTCCTTAAAAGAGGAAATGTAAACACACAAAGATACCAGGAATGTATGTGCAAAGGAAAGACACAGTGAGGATGCAGCAAGCCAAGAAAGGTCTCAGAAAAAAACAAATCTGCCAATCTTGATCTTAGACTTCCAGCTTCCAGAACTATGAGAAAGTAAGTTTCTGTTGTTTAGGACACCTAGTCTTTGGTATTTTGTTATGAGAGCTGTAGCAAACTAATATAAGCACAGATATGTTTATAGCTTGGCTACACAGAAAGTCTCTGAAAAATGACGTACAACAATCCCTTCCCCCACTCTGTCTCTAACCCTAATGAGCCCAAGGAGCAAAATTAAGTCTTTTGATCCTTTCCATCACCCATAAAGGTAGACTTCTAATAGACAATTTGATCTCCTAGTTCTAGTTCCTGGACTCAGTGACTAGTCTTCAAGCAAGCACCTGACCCAGATTGGGGCAAACTTCAATTCCCCTGATATTTGGAATTGGGCCTAAAAAAAAAATCTAGGTTTGAGCTAAAGGTGAGATAATGAATGCAGCTTATTAAATTAACAATATACAATTTCACTTGGTCCTATCTAGTGATAAACAAAGCTGTGGCAGTACCTCAGACTCAAATGAGAAGACTGGATGGAGTTTAGCAGCGTTTATAAACAAACAGCAAATTTATAAAATGAGCAATTTTCAAGTACAATCCAACTATACTGAGATTTAGAAGGACTGGAAAATTTCACCTATATACTAATTAGTTATAGTCCATATCAGAAGATAAACTAACATTACTTACCCTATTTTGGGACTTAAGGCTTCCACATTCCTTGGATATTTGCCGCTGTACATATTCCATACTTCTGCTCTGGATATCTAGGCCTGGCTGACCAAATGTTATCTAAAATACAAACAATTTCTACCTGAGTGACAAAATAATGATTTTCTTACTTTTAATGAAACCACATACAATGTGCATTCCCAAACTTCATAACCTAATGGTAGTGAAGTTTTTCAAAATGGTTTTGATAAAAAGCATCCCTCACTTAAGGAAAAAACAACAAAAAAGCCCACTAAGGCCTTTTCTTACACATTTATATTTCTGCAAGTAATAAACAGTCAAAAAAGTGAAAACAACCCAAATACCTATCCACTAATGAATGAATAAACATGTAGTAGACCCATAAAGTGAAATATTACTTAAGCACAAAAAATATAAAAAGTACTTATATGTGTCACAACAGTGGCTGCAGGGGATTAGGGTAGTAAGGGCAATGACTGCCAAATGCTATGCATTTTTTGTGGGGTGATGTGAAATTTGATACTGATGATGGTTGTACAATCTTGTGAATTACTAAACACCACTGAATTATATACTTTAAAAATTTTATGGTATGTGAATTTTATCTCAATTAAAACAAATAACAGGGACATTTAGTGTCCTGATACATTTATTAGTTTTTTGAATTGCACATAGCTAAAATGTATTAATGTTTAATTTTAAAATTTTTATAATAAAAAATTCAAATATACACAAAAGGAGAGAATAATGTAAATAATCCCCACATATCTACCATCTAGCTTCAATTATTATCTGTCGTTTTGGCAATTCTGTTTTCTTCCTGATTATTTTTCTGGAGGATTCTGATCTAAATCTCACTGTTATACATTTAATAAAACCGTAACCATGAAAATAAATAGTAATACATGAACATGGCAAGATTTTCAAACTGCATAAAAACCATAAAATAAAAATCTTTTTTCTACTTCATACACTCTTAGAAGTTAATATAATAAAAAAAATTTAGTGTATTCTTCTAAAAATTTATACACACACACAAAGTGAATATGTGGATATTTAAAATGGGATCTTGCATTTAATGATACATTACGAATACCTTTCTATGTTTATAGGTAGAATATGTAAGAATTCAGAAATTAATAGGGAAGAAATCACCATTGAGTAAATGGTCTGGGAAGGCTTCATGAAGGAAAAGGACTTGAGGTAAAAAGAATGAGCTAAGTACTCAGTTAAGCAAAAATCAAACAGAAGAACATTATAGAAAAGTAAGTAGAGAGAACAATTATTTTTCCTGATAGAACACAATGACCCCAAGCTGTATGTTAAACATTATTGAGATCTATTTTAAAATGTAAAAAGTCTACTTGTTCACTTATTACTACTGTCTCAGAGAAAAGTCACACATACCGTTTAAACACATGCACACTTTGAAAACTACCTGAGTCAACAGAGTCTACAAATATTAGTTTTCTTACACAATCCCTAAGTAAAAAAGCACATGGACAATGTTGACCTTTTACGCTTATTAAACACAGATATCATAAAATACATCCCATTTCACTATTGCTTTTTAATACCCTGGGAATTTGGTACTCCTACTATAGTCTTTAGGTAAATTTATCAGTTCAAACAGCCGAGATGCTTCTTCAAAGTTGGTCATATATAAACAATGTAAAGGATTTCACTTATAATGGAATAAAACCAAAATGGTACAAATCCTATAAAAATGTTCTATATATTTTCACAAAGAAAATACAAAGCTTTAGTGAGAGACATTAAGAGTTAAACGGAGAGGTATATCATGATCATGAATAAGACTAAATTCTCCCTTAAACTAAAATACAGATTCAGTGCAATTCAAATATAAACCACAAAAGGGTTTTTCATCAAACTTGACAAGCTGATACTAAATTTTTTAGGAGAGCAAACAGCCACAAAAAAAGGAACCAAAAGGAAAAACAATGTCAGACATTTGCACTATAGATTTTAAGATGTATTATACAGTTACAGTAATTCTAGAGCAAAGAAGACAGTGTGGCACTAGTGCAAGGATAGCAAACAGACCAGTATATCAGATGAGACCAGAAACAGACACAAACATATATGGAAACTTGATATGACAGATATGGCACTGCACATTAGTGGGGAGGGGGGAAGAAATCCAATAAACAGTGCTAGTACAGTTAGTAATCTATGTGAAAAAATATAATCCCTACCATCAAGAGAAATCAGTTTAAAGTAGATTACAGACAAAACTTTAAAACTTTTAGAACAGCAGGGAGAAAATCTTTAATATAAGGATAGGGAGGAGTTTGTAAAAACAACATAAGGGAAAGAATAATAAACAAAACTACATTAAAATTTAGGATATCTGGTCACCAAAGCACCAAAAAGAGTGAAAAATAATCACAATCTAGGAGATTTAGCCACACTAAAACTCAAAAAGGATCTATACCTAGAAAACACAGAGGGGTGACTCTGAAAATGTTATTACTAGGTAATGAGGTTATATGAGAGCATACAGTTAAAACCAATTTGTCAAGGGATAATCACAGTTATTACTATAGTGTTTCAAATGCTCAATATGTATCCTCTGTACACATGGCACACATCAATCTTATAGTTTTATCTGTCCCAGAGTCTTTTGTAGCACACCAATGTCAAAAGCATACTCCTATATACCCTAATGAAACTCTTGGAACATGAATAGATAGCAACAAGAAAGTATACACTAGCAGTATACCTAATAACAATAAAAAACTTGAAACAATTAAAATATCCACTGGCGGAAGGGAAAGAAACAAGATCTAGAACTATCAAGAAAAGTATGAGAATACTAAGCAAATAAAATTCAAGGTAATGGTTAGTTACCTCTAAGATCAAGGTAAAGGGATAAATTGGGGGTATTCCTTCTTTTAAGATGTTTGGTGGTTTCTTAGGTATCCAGTGCATATATTCTTTCCTATGTATTAAATATGTTATAAACATTTGATCATGAGTTCATTGATATATATAATGCCTTACTTGTGTATAGTGAAATGACCCCTAGAAACCTGGAAGTAAGACAAATTGAGTAGAAGAGCTACAATGGCTTCTCACTGTAACTAAAACCCGACTGAGTGTAACTAGCTTTTAGAAACAATGTACTTATCCATCCAAAGAATTTACATAGCCCATGGAAGAAGAGAACATGAGTAAAAGCCGAACATTGGCAAGGCTTATTTAAGCATCACTGGAAGGCATAACTTAAGTTAGTACTAGGTGACAATTCTCCATGGGTTTCATTTCTGCAGATCTAGTGAGCATAGGCATTGTCTTTTGTTTCAGACTATCTTTTCTTTTTTAAAAAATTTTTTATTTTAAAGATGTGAGGTATAATTCAGGGTTAAGTATACAAATGTTCATTACGCAGGTACCCTTCTTGATGAGGTGTGCCCTCCACTCCTCCCCGGCAGAATCCCACTACTGCCAATCCTGCTGCGCCTTCCCTCCCCTCGCAATTTCGCACTACTGACAATTCTTTTCTTACAGCATTACGATATTTGTTCAAGGTCCACTTGTGAGTAAGAACATGTGATACTCAGTTCTTTGTTTCTGTGATAGATCACTCAGTATTATAGACCCTAAGTCCATCCAAATTGCTGCAAAGTTCATACTTTTGTCCTTCTTTATGGCTATGTAATGTTCCATCGTGTATATGTACATTTTTTTATCTAGTCTTCTTTCAGTGGGCAGCATGGTTGGTTCCATAATTTTGCTATTGTGAACAATGCTGCAATAAACATACATGTGCAGGCCATCTTTTTCATAGAGTGATTTGAGTTCCTCTGAGTATATTCCCAGTAGCAGGATCGCAGGGTCATACAGAAGGTCGATTTTTAGACCTTTCAGGAATCACCAAACTATTTTTCACAGAGGCTGTACTAATTTACACTCCCACCAACAGTGTTGAAGTGTTTTTCAACTTACTGACGATGGCCATCCTGACTGGAGTTAGGTGGTTTGTCAGTGTGGTTTAAATTTGCATTTCTTTGATTATTAGTGAGGTTGAGCATTTTTTCCATGTATCTGTTGGCTGCTAGTATGTCTTCTTTTGAAAAGTGCCTATTCACACCACAAATAGCCAAAGTAATCCTCAGCAAAGACAAAACAAAACAAAACATAGTGGGAGGTATCACACTCCCAGCCCTTAAACTTTATTATACAGCTACAATAATCAAAACAGCCTGGTATTGGTATAAGAACAGGCATACAGATCAATGGAACAGGATAGAGATTCCAGAAGTAGAACCTCAATTTTTCAACCAACTCATCTTTGACAAAGCCTCCAGCACCAAACACTGGGGAAAGGAGAACCTATTCAGTAAATGATGCTGGGGAAACTGGCTGACCACATGCAAAAGATTAAAACAGGACCCCTACCTATCACCACACACAAAAGTCAACTCTAAATGGATCAAAAGACCTAAATGTAAAACCTCAAACTATAAGAACCTTAGAAAAAAATGCAGGAGACGCCCTTACAGAAATTGGAACTGGCAACCAATTCCTGATGAAAACCCCAGTGCTCATGCCATAAGAGACAAGTGGGACCTCCTCAAACTGACAAGCTTCTGCAAAGAAAAAGAAACCATTAAGAGATTGGGAACACAGCCCACTCACTGGAAAAAAATATTTGCCAACTGTGTATCTGACAAAGGTCTAACAACTAGGATCTGTAAGGAACTCAAGCGTGCCAAAAGGAAAAAATCAAACAGCCCCATTACAGAGTGGACAGACTATCTTTTCAAGGATGTTTGTACAGTGAAACCCTTGAAAGATAGAGTGTCTCCCATTTAAAGACAGGTTTGTTTAGTGCCCAGTTTAACAAAAACAATGTCTCCTATAGCAAAAGTCAGGTAGGCTTATTGACCATTATAAAAGTCTTGGCTTCACTAAACTCAGGGTTCTAATGCTGTGATGCAAACTCACTGAGTATATTCAATGCTTAAGCATCACTCTGTGGACTTGGGGGAGCAAAAGGAACCAGCACAACCTTGAAGCTCATCTCACTTGTTGTGCTATGAATAATAGTTCTTTGTTTCCGACCCAGTTGTCTT